ACACACACACACACACACACACACACACACACACACACACACACACAAGCTGGCAAAGCCTAGAGCAGAGGGTAAGAGCTCGCAGCCCCTGACCTCAAGGCCACATTTGTACAGAAGTCCACACTAGTGGCCTTCTGCCAGGTGTAGTTACATAACACATTGTGCCACTACTTACTTTGAGGGTTCTCAGACTTGTGGTGTCAGCTATTTTGTGCTGACTCAGCCCCCTGAATGTCCAGTGTCGGCCATGTTTTAGCTGACTCATATCAGATACGCACATGAGCAACATACCTAAATATAAGCTGTCCCTGTGGCCTTCTGTTTCTACACTGAGATACACATGAAAACATGTTAGGTGTCCGATTGACATTTAAGTCACTTTAAACTTTTGAGTTACGGATGGTGGTTAAGTTTTTCTTTAAGATTAACAGGGACTTGGTTTATTGGGTAAGTTTAGCTAAATTTCGTTAAGGGTTACAAACATCCTCAGATTAACATATGGAGGCACAGGATTGCCATCATGAGTGGTTTGTGGTATGATATACTACCCAAAGATAACATTGGGGTCAGGAAAAGAAATACTATAACTCTGACCACGTAGGCAATGCTCCAAGTCCTGAGGCTCAACGGACCTTTGAAGTAGAGTTCTTGTGTGTTTATCCACACAGAGTTCACAGTTTTTATGGATTTCCTTGGTTTTCTTGACTCAGTTGCATCTACCTAGGAGGCCCTTACTTGCATGGACAGGATGGAAATGAATGTAGAAGCTGCAGACAGGTGGAAGGCAGCCAATGCTAAATGGCCAATTCTGCCTGACCCCCTTTCCAGTTCCTTGAGTGAGTATGGCTGAGGGGAGGACAGCGTGGTAAGGTGTGGGATTCAATGTTCCATTATGAGTCCCAACAGACTTCCCTTGGAGTCACTTCTGCAGGCTTTAACCAGGGGCTGGGCTGACCTTTCACACTCCCCTTCAAGAAGAAACCAGCCTTTCCTCTAGCACTTAGATTGAAGAAACAGTAAAAGCTTCAGCTACAAGGTTATCTATTTCTATATATATCTATATATCCACATATATCCCCATCTATCTCTTCATATATACCTATGGCATTCATGGTGGTCACAGGCTAATGGAGAAAAGGATGCAGCTAAGGCATTTACTCAAATCTTAGAGAGCATCATGGGTAACCTAACATCTTATCTTAGTACTGTTTGCTCAGAATTATCTCTGCCTTAAACTCTAAAGGGCCGTATTCTAAGATCATACTCAGTCTTGGGCAGGATGTTTCATTGCCATATTTCCTCCTGAGCTAGAACCTTTTTTTGGGGGGGGGGGTATTGAACCCAGGAACTCATACACGCTAAGCAAGCAACTGAGCTAGATTCTCAGCCCTTTTTGTTTTTTTATTTGAAGATGTAGCCTGGATAAGTTGCCCAAGGTGGCCTTGAACTTATTCTATAGCCCAAGCAGACTCTGAATCTGTGATCCTCTTGCCTGCACCTCCCAAATAGCTGGACTCACAGACCTATCTACTAGACCTATCTAAATTGACATGATGAGAGTGTATACACAATAGCCCAAAGGGGTTTGTCCAGAAAAGGTCAGGGTAAGGCCTTCTAACACCCGAGTACTTCCCAGATCCCCTATGAAGGCTCGTCTTGATTAGAAAAAGTTTCCAAAGGTAGATAATGCTCTCCATCCTCACAGTGCTAAAGGATGGACATGGGTCCTTCACATGATTAGCATCGGCAGAAAAGCCAGACACATAATTTTATAGGTCCTAAAAATCAACTAGAAGGAACGTGAAGCCATAGTTATTATGTTGAGCCTATCTTATGGACAAGAAAACAAATTATTGCAAAGAGGGAAAAATAGAAGGACAGTAACAGAACCCAACCTGGAGGATAAAGAAGAAACAGACATATTCCTGTGCAAAAATGAGACACCTCCACTCCCCTCCCCTTAATATCTAATCTAAGTCAGATGAGTTATTTCCTTCCTAAACATCTTTTGACGTCATTTAGGAAGGAGTGTGAAGATAGCCACAGATTTGGAATAGCAGTGACCAACGGAATTCTTAGGGGATGCTCATGGCACAAAGTCAGTTAGTTCCAGCAACACAGGAGAAAACTGAGTCCGAAGAGTTACTGTTGGAAGTGGGAGCCAATGAGGCAGAGAAAGGAAATGAGCTCAGGGAGCCGAGTGCAGTTTAACTGTCTTCCTGTCAAAGCAGTGAAGACAAACGTGAAGAGTAAGTATCTGGGAAAGACAAGGGAACTCTGTGGTTGGATATTAAGCGAGGGGCTTCCATCTTTGATCAACAGGGAGTAGGGAATCAGCGGAAGTTTTTAAAATGAAAATGTTTCCTTTACAGTTGCTCTGACACTGTCATGAAAAGTCATTCCCACCCAAAATGCTGCATGTAGGCATAATTCCTTCATATGGCAAACACACATACCCTCAATATACATCATATTCCTTACTGGAAACATTCATGCACAAAGAAACATTCTTGTGTGTGTATCTGTCATACATATACACATATGCAATTGTACACGTACGTACATACACACAAACATATAGAGAGCCACGTTTCCAGAGCTGCCAGAGGCACAGTCCCTACACACACTCCTGCAGCCTAGAAACACTCAGCCATGGTGCACCTGGCAGGAGGGTTGAACCCGGAAGCTCCCTGTTAAATCCCTGGACTCTGGTTGTTTGGCTTGTATTCCACAGGCCAGCCTGACTTTTTTTTTTTTTCCTTTACAAGTCAGGAACTAAGGAAGAGCACCAATACCATGCACAAGGCTCCTTCTTGAATGTGTTCTGAATTGGGGACAGCACCAATCACCCCGACCCTCATCAAACTGGGCCCTAAAGAGGAAAGGTAATTAGTCCCAGAGAAAAGCAGCCTCTTGCTCCAGGGATATAGGCCTGGGGAAGGGGATTTGCCTTCAAATAAAAGTTAAGGCGCTCCTAAGGTCCCAAGCTCAAAGTGTGGTCAGTCACACCCTCTGTAAATCCTCCCATGGCAAGTTCTATGTGACCCCTGCTGCCATTCCCTCCTGTGATTCCAGGAGGGCAGAGGGTACACTCGGGGGACAGGGAGTTTCGGTTCCTGCTAGTCTGTCTTCCTGCGAGTGGCTGCATGTCCTCTGCATGAGCCCAAGGGTGTCCACTGCTTACAAAGCTGTGGTTATCCGTCAGCAGGACCACACCGTGGCGTCATTAGGGGCAAAAGGCAGTGCGGATGAGAGCAGGCCACTCCCCGGTGACACATCTCTGCTGTGCTCTGCTCTATGTGATATACTGTGAATGGAGTGTGTGCAAGAAGAGGCAAAACTGTGGGAGCCATGGGTGTGATCGAAGAAGGGATTGGTTACGATTGTGTGTGCAGGAACAGGCCCACATAGAGGGCTCGTGAGGAACAGGCAGCCAACGAAGCATGAATATACATCATGGCTCATGATGGTCACTGCGCATGTTCTGTGTGCCACTGTGAGCAGAAACGTGTGAGGGACTGGCGCTATCGAAAATTCAGATTCTCAATGCCGCTATGTGATTGCATGTGACCACGCGTTTGTGTGCACAATTATACGGGATTTGGGAGCTTGTATCTCTGCTTGTCTGCTAAGTGGGATGTGAGTGCACACCCTGAATCCATATTTCATGCCTGTGTACTCGTAGAAACCAGGCAGAAGCTATGCATAGCTGCATGACTGTGTGCAAGCACATGCGGGCTTGCAATCACCTACAAATGCCTCTGCATACAAGTTGATATATCTGAATGTTAACCAGGGCCAACTTGAACCCCAGCAAGAGCTGGTCCAGTTTCCAAAGCTATTTTACAAGCAAGCTTCACCTTCATCCTACCCAGTCACCTTCATTCGTTTGCCTTCTTGGAAGGTAAGGCATGGTTGGGAATTCAAGAAAAGCTCTAGAGGGAGCCAAAGCCAGAGGATTCTTTTTAACTAATGTGGGAGAAGAGGAAGACGATCAGTAGAGCAGGTTTGCTGATTTGACACAAGCTAGGGTTATCTGGAAAGAGAAATCATTAGTTGAGAAAATGCCTCCCTTACATTAGCCCGTGGGCAAGCCTGTGGGGTGTTTTCTTGATTGATGATTGATGTGGGAGGGCCCAGCCCACTGTAGGTAGTGCCAGTCCCTGGGCAAGTAGACGTGGGTGGTAGAAGAAAGCTGGCTGAGCAAACCATGGAGAGCAAGCAGCCATAACTGCTTGCTCCCTGCCTCCTGGTCCCTGGTTCCAGTCCTGACTTCCCTTCCTGGTGAACTGCAACTGTAAACTAACATAAACCGCTTCCTCCCCAAGTTGCTTTCAGTTGTGGGGTTTATCGCAGCAATAGA